AATGAGCTGAACCTGTCGAGGACGGGAGAGACGGACAGACTAAGACAAAGGTAAAAAGAGTGAGAGGGTAGAGAGGGATAAAAAAAAATGAAGAAGTGAGAATTGTTGCTTTCCTGGTAACCATTTATTTCAGAAGGATAAAGAAAAAAGAGAAAGAGAGGGGGGAGAGATGCACTGCCAGGGTGTTAACAAGAAGAGAATGCTTTTCTAGTAGATCATGACTGAGAGAAGAGAGAGAACGGCACAAATAGAAAGTGATAAAGAGATGCTATCTTCATGGCTGATAGGTCCGTGCTATCATCTAATCGGCCAGAAGGAAGAAGGGTTTGATTAGCTCAAATGAAAAAACAATCACAAAGTCACACACTTGATGGATAATAGCATAAAGGACAAGCCGAGAGACAGCAGCTACCTCTTCCTCAGGTTTCTCTTCGCCGCTTCCTCCCACCGACTCCTCAGCGATACTCCTCTGGGGGTGCAGGTTTGAAGGGTTCTTTCGACGTATAGAGCCACGGGACACGTCTGTGATGCTCTGAATCTGAAGAGACAACATCAGAGCTGTTAGACTGATTCAAACAGTCAAATCAAATCTTTATATATCTCTTTATGTACAGTATGTTTCTTCCTCATCTACATATACCTCTTATAATGTTTACTTTTGTGTTCCACATATGAAAGAAAGTCACAGGTTTGGATCAACAGTTTTATTTTTGGGTGAACTCGTGACTTTATCAACATTGCTTTATCCTTGTAAAATCAATTTATCTTTCACGACTTATTGCTTCAACTAAATGTCGTTTGTTAGAATAAACCTTAATTGTTTTGAATGTGCACTTGCAGTGTACATAGAATCTTACACACACACACACACACATATATATATATATATATATATATATATTTTTTTTTTAGTTATACTTGGAGAATATATTATATTAATGAAATAAAAAACCACTTAAGTGTACTTAAAGACAGTACACTTTCATGACTGTTTATTAACACATTAAGGTACACTTTTAAGTGTACTATATATAATGTCAGATCTAATACTGTAATAATCAAATGTCAAGTGTAATAATGTCAAATTAAAAGTTTTACTTTAAAGTAGATTTTGAATCATTGTTTTATTATTCTTTTGTCATGCTTTAAAGAAGCACACTTATTTTAAAATGCTGACTAACATACTAAAGCACATGTAAAGTTCTTGATTATACTTTTAAC